AGACCTGCTCTATTTGAATTTGATTGAATTTTGCAAAGGGCCAAAATGGCATTGTCTTAGAAAGTCATTCTTCATTCTTCCGTTCATGCTACAATACTCGTGTTGTAAACCCAACGGTACCGTCAGGTCCATAATTGATTACTGGCTTGCTGCTGATTCATTTATGGAACTGGACATTTCCATTTACAAACTCCATTAACTGATCACTGTTTAATTAAACTAAATTTGGACACATTAAATAAAATTCAAATGAAGGTGGGTGACAGAAAAATATGACACTGAATTGTGTGGATATTTATAAACAGTGTTTGTCATTGACAGGTGTACTCCTGGGAGGGTGTGGAGATCGATCGATCCGTTTCCGTCCTGCACTGGTTTTCAAGGAGTACCATGTTCACATCTTTCTCAACATCTTCAATGATGTGTTGGCCCAGCACAAATAAATCCTGATCCTAAAGGAACCTGACTGACACTACATGAGCCTGACTTAATCCAGAATGTGGAGGGAGGGAAACTCCAGACAGTCCATGTCATGATAAGCACAATCCATACAATAACTCACACAGATATCCCTTATGTTCCAAGATCCAGGGCCAGGTGAGTTTCTAACATTGAAGACTGACCAATATCCTTAGCAAGAAATGATAATGATGATATACTTTTGCTACCATTAAAATGTACACAACAGGTGCCAGTGGGTAATACCGCAGTAATTTAAGATTTCTGTAAAATCAACCTTAATGCAATGCAAAGAATTTTCTCATCTGGATTCATGTTCTTACATATAGATTAACCCGACTAGCAGTACTCTGGATGAAGTCATGACAGATCTATAAATCTAGTACCTTTTATTTCACACTTTACTGCCTGAGATTCAGAGGTATGGAACCAGGCCAAAATGTGGGTCTGTTCCTTTAAAAGGTAGCACAACATTAGATAAATGTAAATAAGATGTCAAAGATCCAACCTCCGTATTAACCTCTCTTAATGGATCAGAACAAAATCTTTTGTACAGCTTCTTTTAGTGCTCATATGCCAACATCATCCCACCACCTGACTCAGTCACTGAAGTGATTATAGTTAGCCTGTGTGCTTGTTTTAAAGCTGCACATAAAAAAATATTTTTTTGCCATATTTGCTGAAATTTTCACTGTGTCCTGGCAGTAGTATATGAGACAGATAATCTGTTAAAAAAAACAGGTTCCCCTTGCTTGTTCTAGTTTTAGCTTGAAGATAGTTAATTGTTGAGAGAACCTGATTTTTTTTCTTTTACAGATTGTCTGTCTCATGCTGCTGTCAGGATATATGACCAAAAAATATTTTTAGAACATTTTCGAACTGCATCTTTAAGAAGGCAGGCAGAATTCTGTCAGGTATGATACTGTGTAGGAGCACACAATAAAGCTAAGATGTCAGCCTGCATGTCATTTAATGCTGTCCATTACAAATGTCCTTGTTATGATTCTGACTGATGTGTTGATCTTAATAGAAATGACCTTTAAGCTTGAAATGTTGTAGCCCAGAAAAATGTGAAACATAAATGGACCACAAAAATGTCATAGATTATTTAGTGCCTGCATGTAACTTAAATGTGCTAATATTTTTTTTTCTTTTAATGCCTGAGAGCAGCCATTGGTAACCTTAACTGAACAAAACTTCTGAACACATTCACTTTACTCTTGAATGAGAGCTTCATATCAGTTGGCACGTTTGTTTCTGAAAACTTGTTTACTTTTACTACTTGGTTATGATTTTGAATTTAACACTCATTTATGACGGAACAGAGAGAGTTTCCTTAATTTAAAGCACAGTTTCAGTTTGCACCAAGCTGTTTCTGAGATGTTGAATGTTGCTTGTCATATAGATAAACATGGTGGCCCCTAAGGAGCAAACACTTGCATAAGCAAAAGCAACAACATTAAGGAAATGTGCTCCAAAATCCAAAATTACTACAAACTGAAAAACACATTTGAGAGTTATAACACAAATATTCAGACAAAATGCAACAAATAATAAAACGCATACAAATGTAAAAAGACAAACATGGACTTGTGCTTATACTTCAAGCAGCTGTTTATCCTATATTAGGTAGCCTACTTGCTAAAGTTTGTGCATTACGTCTAAACATGCTACACTTAATTGTGTGTAATTCCATAATAAGGCTTTTTTACATGAGCTTTGAATATACTGCTACACGAATTTGGATTCAGGGATTATTAGAAGGTATTGTAGAAGACAATAGTTTGTTTAAAGTTAAAAGCAACTGTACCTGCTTTAGATTCTTGAAACCGTTTTGCTCTCATCCAAAGGCCAGATGTGATATACTATGACCTTGATGACTAAGAATTTTCACAGACATAGTCAATAGTTTTTAATTAAACAGGTAGTCTCAGACTCATTACTTGCCACATTTGGAACTGTCAGATCCCCTGAAAACACCTGAAAACATTTCCAACAAAGCATTAATCTCAGGGCATCCTGATAGCTCACCTGATAGTGTTGGCACCTTTGTCTCATTGTAGTTGGACAGGCTGTAATGGGCTCATTACTGCCCCCTAAGACTAGAGGGCAGGAAACAACCACTGGTACTTGCAACCTCAGTTATAGTGGGTTTATCCCAACCCAAGCAATCAAAAGTAATACTGTTTGGAAATCCTATCGAATCGATTCAATTCAATTTTATTAGTATAGCACCAGTAACAAATGACAGTGTCCTCAGTGTCCTTAGTGTCACTAACTTTTCAAACGGCGGCAAGGAAAAACATCCTTTTAAGAGGCAGAAACCTCGGACAGACACCGGCTCTAGGTGGGTGGCGGTCTGCCTTCACCAGTGATGGAGGTGTTTCAAACTGTATTTTTCAAGTTTACAAAAACAATATATGAAAACTAACTGGCTGGGTTTGCAAATGCTTGTATGGTTAACTTCCACACCTCAGATAAAGTGCAGCACGCAGACAGGAACTATCTCCCGTGCAGTGGATGACACATACCCAAACTGTAGCTCAGTTGCTCAGCTTGAACTTAAAGCACAGGTCCATCAAACAGGGTGGTATATAAAGACGTCAGGTAATGGGTAAATATAAAGATGTAGTACATAAAGTCTAACAGCACAAATTTTATAAATACTTGTGGAATTTCCATTCTTATTTGTAAATCTTCTGGAGTTGATGCTCTGCTGTAGAACACCTCAGACCTTCATCAGTGTCTATGAATGCCCCATGGAGCTTTTAGGCAAGTGTTAGGAATGTGTAGCAGTTCATAAAATAAACAAATACATTGTGTATTAATTTCTTAATAATTATTAACTCACTACAATTTTATATATATGGATATATTTACATCTTTTTACATTAATGTTGCAGAAATTATATCCTGTAAGCCTGATGTGAATGATGTGTTATACATAATTCCCAGAGTCAGTTTGTCTCGTACAAATTAAACGTGAATTGAAATGAAGATTTAATGAAATACATAGGGTTCACGGTGGAGCAATGCGATGGTGATGATGACAACAGTGCTCTCCTTGTTGTCACTATTTGTCAGTATCCATGATGACCTTTAACGTCTTTGACATTAACTATTTGCACTTGTGATCTGAGATAGATGATTGAATT